GATGAGGTCTCACCAAGTTGCCCAGGTGGGTCTTGAATCCATGGGCTCAGGCAATCCACTTATCTCAGCCTCCCAAAGCATGGGATTACAGGCTGAGCCACCGAGCCCGGCTGACAATTGCATTTCTTTACACCAATAACAAACCAACAGAAACCCAAATAAAAAGCACAATTTCATTCACAATAACCACACAAAAAAAGAAATACTTTTGCATCTTCCTAACCAGAAACGTGAAAGACCTTTACAATGAAAACTACAAAACACTGTTCAAAGAAATCAAAGATGACACAAACAAGTGGAATATATATCCCATGCTCATGGATTGGAAGAATCAATATTGTGAAGATGTTCATCTTACTTAAGGCAATCTACAGATTTAATACAATACCCATCAAATTACCAGCAACATTCTTCTCAGATCTAGAAAAAATCAATACAGTAATTCATATGGAAACACAAACAACCAAGAATAGCCAGAACAATCCTCAGCAAGAAACAACAACAACAACAACAAAGCAGGAGGTATCACATTACCAGACTTTAAACTTTACTATAAAGCTACAATAATCAAAACAGCTTGGTATTGGTACAGGAACAGACATATAGACCAATGGAATAGAATTAAGATTTCAGAAGCAAAACCTCAATTTCTCAACCAACTCATCTTCGACAAAGCCTCCACCACCTACCACTGGGGAGAGGAGAACCTGTTCAGTAAATGGTGCTGGGAAAACTGGCTGACCACATGCAGACGATTCAAACAAGACCTCTATCTATCCCCATACACAAATATTAACTCTAAATGAATCAGAGACCTAAATGTAAAATCTCAAACCATAAGAACCTTAGAAAATGCGGGACACATCCTTATGGAAATTGGAACTGGCATCTAATTCCTGAACAAAACTCAAAACGCACGGGCCATAAGAGATAAGATAGACAAGTGGAACCTCATTAAACTGACAAGCTTCTGCAAAGCCAAAGAAACCATCAAGAGAGCAGGGAGACAGCCACAGACTGGGAAAAAGTATTTGCCAACTCCATGTCTGACAAAGGCCTAACATCTTGGATCTACAAGGAACTCGAACAAAAAAACAAACAACCCCATTACAAAGTGGGCAAAAGATATGAACAGACACTTCTCAAAAGAAGACATACGAGTGGCCAACAGACACATGAAGAAATGTTCAACCTCACTAATCATCAAGGAGATGCAAATTAAAACTACACTGAGATACCACCTAACTCCAGTCAGAATGGCCATTATCAATAACTCAAAAAATAACAGATGCTGGAGAGGATGTGGTGAAAAGGGACACTTCTACACTGTTGGTGGGAGTATAAACTAGTGCAGCCTCTGTGGAAATCAGTGTGGTGATTCCTGAAAGCTCTAAAAATCGACCTTCCATATGATCCTGCAATCCCCCTACTGGGAATATACCCTGAAGAACTCAAATCACTCTTTCAAAAAGATACCTGCACACGTATGTTTATCACAGCATTGTTCACAATAGCAAGATCATGGAACCAACCATGCTGTCCATCAAAAGAGGACTGGATTTTTAAAATGTGGTACATATACACAATGGAATATTACGCAGCCATAAAAAAAGAACAAAATCATGAATTTTGCAACAACCTGGATGGAATTGGAGCTTATAATACTGAGTGATCCCTCACAGAAACAAAGATCTGAGTATTACATGTTCTCACTCATAAGTGGACCTTGAACAACTATCGTAATACTATAAGAAAAGGATTGACAGTGAA